AACCATTTCGGAAAGCCAACTTTATGGTTTTCTACTCGGTAAAACTTTACACGCTTCATTACTTCACCTTACTACCAACGGCCAGCAACGGCACCACTTAGTACTTCAATGTAGAGTTGATTGTAATGCACCATTAAGGGGTTTCCAATTTGCTTTCGATGTAGAAACAACACCGAGGGACACGTGCCTTTGTAAGTCATGCGCCTGTTGACGGTGTTGCACTGTTGTTGGGTTGGGGTGTACAAATTTGAATTTCCTCGCCATTGCAACAACCGAGTGGTCAATAATAACGACACCTGTCTGGACAATACGGGCCTATTGGGTAATTAGATCGCTCGTCAGTCCTCGCCTCGGTTGTGAAACACATGACAATCGAGGAAGGTGACGATTTCACAAGAGAACGCACGCAACATTGAAATACGGGCAAATTGGGGGTTTATTGTGTTTTTGCTACCCAGCTCATTACTAGGCATTTCACAAGTATTTAGCATAATTTGGTGCACTTCAGCACCAAATGAAATAAATCAGTGAAAATCAATAAATTATGGTCTAGAGCTCACAGCAAACTATTGAAGATTCAAGTGCTAGCTCATATTAAAGCAAAAGCATAAATAAGCATAGCCCATTAATATATGAAGCAAGAGTAGAATTTTGGATTTAGAAAACAAATAAAACAACATTTTAAACTCTAAAGGCTGACTAAAAGTAAATTGATACGCACAAAAAGACCTGACGAAATCTCTCTCTTCCTTTTGATTGCGCCCGCACAGTGGAAATGGACACGGAATCAGTACATTTCTTCCATTTTTACCGCATTTTTTGGATGTCCTTAACTGCCCAGCCGCTTCATCGAAGTCACTGCTTTGAAATTACTCAGTATTTTTCGATTGGTCGAAATTCCGGGCAATTCGGAGGATTCATTAGCTTGGAGACAAAATCGATCTTGTTGGCAGCATACCACTCCAGAACCACCGTGCATCAGTGGAAGCTGGCCAAATCGAGCCAAAAGATGACTTTGCCCCTATGCTTGCGGATGAACGGCAAGACACGCTTTTTCAGGCATTCTTCGATGTAAACTTGTGATGTCATCGTCAAGGATGTGACGAATCGTTCCATTTTCAGACCACAACTGCAAATCGCTTGCCAAACAATGGCCTTCTTTGCGAACTTGTCGGCAAACACGAACTTGAATCTTCCCAGCACATCCCCACGTCCAGTCGCGATGTAAAACTTTTTGAACAGGAGGTTGCTCAAAATCGAGTTTGACGTATGTTTCGTCATCGAGAAAAGTGCAGCCCTTGTGTTTCGTCAAAACACGGTCGTACAAGAACCTTTCACGATTTGTGGCCACGGAATTCTGCTTCATGTGCCGGTTCGGATGTTGACTGGCTTTATACGACTTGTATCCTTCCCTGACAAGGATGTTTCGCATCGTTTAAAAGTTGGTGTTGTACCTTCTGGCCACATCTCGGATTGAAAGACCGGGGTTGGCTTTAACGCATCTCAACACCTTGCTGACGATCCCTGGTTCCAGTTTTTTCGTCGCTCCACTGATTCTTTTCCACAATCAGGGTGTCCTTGTAAGTTTTGAGCACTCGACAAACTGTTGTTTTCGGCATCTTCAGCACTTTAGCCAGCTTGGAACCGGACCACTCTGGATTTTGAAGGTGTTTGTGCAAAATATTTTTGTCTTCTGTCGAGTTCCATTTGACGTTATTTCTGAACGCGATCGACTACTTTGATCAAACGCGCACCAGTTGTTCTCTATAGAAGTGTAAGCAAACAACCGTCAAAGATTTTCGATTGCCAACACTAGAGGCGTGTTAGCGGTGCGCGAGGGGCGTACCAATTTACTTTTAGTCAGCCTTTAATGTTGAATTCTATGTTCATTTTAATGGCAATTTCAAAAATTTTCCTAAACTTATTGGTATTGGTTTTTTTTTATCTAGTTCGTTTATTTTTCAGGCTCCATCGCGTTAGCTTTACGGAGCCGATAGTTCATTGTTCTTTGTTTGTAACAAAATCCACTTAATTCTATGTCTAGTAGGAGTTGGGCCGAATAATCGTGACTTACTCGAGGTTAGAGAGGTACATTGTCGAAGGATAGGATCAGGGGAGGAGCTTGGGGGTAAGGTTTCGTTGTCTTATCAGAGCGTTGTCGCCAGTATGAATGGTAGTGCGATTCTAGTTCACTTTACTTCCCAGTCACGCTTACCACTACACCACCGGCACCGGCAAAATTTAATAAATGAACTGAACTAAACTGAAGATTGAGTGATCTGTGAAGAAAGTGCCCGAAGTAAATTGAAACCTCTGCTGCTCTCTGCTTTGATATCGACAGGATGTAAATAGTCATTTGAACTAATCTATTGCACCAAATATATGATCGATTCGTTCACGTCGAAATTATTTATATAGGTATTTGATTTTTCTCCTAGATATCACTGAAATACGCCAATACGCCAATAACATACAATAAGAAAACAAAGACTTTTGTCATGCTAAATTCTAATGCTAAACCAGTACGCCTTGTTCAGCCGTTTAGAAACCTTATTTAAGTTTTAAAGAATCTCAAAATAACTACCTTCACTAAAATATGTGTTTTCTTTATGTCAAATTACTCAAGAAGAAATTTAATGAATAATTAGGGAATGGACATATTTTTTGCAGAATCGATATTTATTATTTTGAATTCGATGACATGTTCATTATGATTTGCTCAAAACGTAAATTCAACAAAAACGACAAAGATAATCATCAGAAAAATTCTGAAATTTCCTTTGTTTCTCTCCCAATAAGCCATTTCCTTGATATTTTATGGTTGACCTCCAATTTGCTACACCCAGCCTGAGTCTTCTCGGTCATTATCTCGGACGGTCCGATATGAATTTGGCTACCCGGGTTTGAATTTTCACCTTCGCATTTACCGAACCGGAACTCTTGGTTTTCGCAGTTTCAATCTGCTCGCTTGTCCGATCCGAATAACAACCCGGAATGTTCGGCAAAGCCTAAAAAACGTCGGTAAAGTGGTGCATACATATGTAACGACGTTCACACTACGGCTCACGGTCACAGCGCAATGAGTGATGCGTCAGGATGATCCATACGAGTGGCAAAACAACAAAACCAACTCGAAAATCAAGGTCACCACCGTGGTCGCCGGTCCAACTAAAGGTAGATGATTAAACCGTGTGATTAAAAAGATGTGTCGCGGTGGATGAATTTACGCGCCCAGTTGTGTCTAGTTGCGGGCAAGCGCTTTTAGCTTAGCGGGTTTCAGTCCGGCGATGGTTCCGAGTTGGCAATTAGCGGAAATTACAGCACATTATGGGGCCCCTTGTTGGGTTGGAGTACCAGCAAATTCTATATTAGCAGTGGATGGTTAATTTTTAAGATGCTGAAAAGCGGTAGTCATTTAATTTAGTTGATGAAAAACATCGAAAGCTTTAATTTGGTTGATTTAAAGATAAGCGGTTTTCAGGCAATGGCTATTAGGTTTTAATTGCTAGTGGTTAAAAATGTACCGTTCTGATTAGAAGGTGGTTGGACATAGGTGTGAATCATTGGAACGAGTCGGTAGGAGAGTTACGTTATGCAATATCCATCAATACCTATTTTTATTAAATTGTGTTATATTAAAAATTTTAAGTTTTTTATCTAGAATGTATCATCTAAGAATCTTGAATATTTCCTCAAATTTGGGATTCTGTACATTAAATTTACTTTCTTTTGTTGGGCTCGTAGCTACTGTGACCACTTATTTTATCTATTGTAGCATATACCTTCTTCTTACGGTTTACCTAATCAGAGTGAAAAGCTTCTATAAGAAGTAGCCTTCAGCCCCTGATTTCAGGTACACTTCCCGCAAAGGTCGTATGCCGTATAAAACGAACTACCTTCATGGGAGAAGAAAACCATACTTCAAAGGGCTGTAATAGATCCTTGTCAAAGAATTTTGCTCTTCTTTTGAAAAGAGCTGCACAGTTACATAGTAAGTGTTCCGACTTCCTTGCTTGAGCATGATTATGATTGATCGCCACAGTTGCTACTCTATTATTGCCAGATCAACTTTAACACAGAGAACCAATAGACGATGCTTGGGACTAGCAATAATCCTCAATGTGTAAAAACTGGTGATCTCAAACTAGGCAATACCAGTGTCGGCCGCACCCGAACACAGTTCAAGAAAGGAATGGGTGGGAATGTATTATGAATACCTCTGCACTTCCCCGAGGAATCACTGACATATTGGGTTAGAGGGTTGGGATTGCAGCGGTGTTCCAAAACATCCAAGTATAGCGCTCAACAATTTTCTCAAAAAAATACCACCAATGGTATGTTTTAAAATGGCCAGCTAACATTTAACGCCAATTCAGTCATGACACATTTTCTACCTGTCCCAATTCATCAGCAGCGATCTATTCAAGAGAACGATCCCACGAGAGACTTGTCGCCTCTACAAGTGATGAACCTTCGACAATCATCAGCCCCCGAAAATTGCCTTTAACCGACAGACCGAAAAAAACTCAGGGGCATTCTGTTGTTCACAAGCTTTGTTCACCAAAAACGATTCGCCAACGCCTCCGACGAAATCTGGGCCAACAACACCCCAGTCAGCGATCGTTAAGTAGCCTCCTTTCCGTTTGGCTGCTGAGAAGCTGCGTACACAACAATGTGTGATTATTCAAATGTTGCCTCCAACCTCTCCTTTGCATACCCTCCCTCCCCCCCCCCCCCCCCCAAACGGAAGAGCTGATGATTAATCATCAGTGTTCTTCGGTAGCCTTGTCCGACCGATGTTTGTTTACGATTGGCTGCTGCTGATCGGTGAAACTCAATAATGCACAAACAACCAACAATATGCGGCGATGCGGTGCGAGTGTAGGATCTGCCTCGTGGAGCAGCACAGTTCCGGTCCTGCATCTCGCCTCCCGCGCGCCATACCTAATTGGGTTGAAGCTAATTTGTGGTTTTTTCTCTCTTACCTCTCTAATTTACAGTCTATGCAAGCAGCGCCGACCTCGACGTCGTGGACGATGGCGATGGGAGCTCGCTGTACAACGGCGACGAGAATCACAAAGTGTGGAGCGGTTCGACGGATCAGCTCGACGGCATCGGTGTGGGCGACAGTGGCCATTACGACATTTACTCCGGCGGCACCGGATCGACCCTAGGGCGGCCGGCTCGAGCACGACAGATTAGCGCTCCGGTGCCGGTGCCACCACCACCGAAGGAAGAGCTGAAAAAGTTGAAGAAAGAAGCGAAGAAGCAATCCAAACATCAGCTACAGGTAGGAAGTCAAAGTCTTTCCGGTACGCTTATAAGACCCCGTCCAATGCACATGAATCCACTAGGTCGACCCGGGCCACCACCAGCTGGCGGCCACGGAGGTCATCCTGGCATGATGATGTACACGATGGGACCACCACCCCCTCCCCCTCTAGGTGGCCGTCAGTTCCACACCATAGGTCATCGAAGCCACAACGGAACAGGCATGCCACCGATGATGCATCACCCTCATCAGATCCAGCTTCACCCGGGAATGCATCCAATGCCAATGATGGTACCCCCGCAGTACGCTACACTGCAGCACCCGCGAAGCAGCAAGAAAAAGAAAGACAAGAGCAAAATGAACGGTGGAATCCCGATTGGCGTTCCGGTGGTTCCTCCGATGTTCGCCTACCCACCGCCACCGGGTCCCGGCTCGGTCATGGAACCCCGGCCGCTCTCGATGAGTAACCGAAAGCTGGCCCAGTCAGCTGCCGCCGGACTGGACGAATCCGGCAACTCCGGTGCGGAGTCCCCCGGTGGCACCGGGATCTACCGCCGCAAAGGACACCTCAACGAACGTGCTTTCAGCTACTCGATCCGGCAGGAGCACCGCAGCCGAAGTCACGGCTCGCTAGCTAGTCTACAGTTCAACCCGCCCGACATGAAGAAGGAGCGGGAGATCGCCCAGATGGTGGCCGGATTGGAGCTAACCGATGAATCTACGCTGCAGCGAAGGCGATCCGAAGTGATGGCCGGATCGTCCGGGACGTTCGGAAAGCCGAGGAGATGAAGAGGTGCTACCGGCTGGCTTGAGTGGTGTACAGTTTTAAATCGATGTTTGTGTGTGTGTGAGCGTAGCGTATTGCGAGATTTCGACCTTCGCGGGTAAGTGTTAGGAACGGGAATAGAGGTCGAGGGATGATTATGAGGTGATGCGTGAATCAGGAGGGGTGTTAGGTCGATTGGGAGGGAGGGTTTGGACGAGTGGTTAACGGGAGGGTTTCGGGTGATTTGGCGCTGTGAAAGTGATGTCCAAGCTTTGCGCTGTCTCAGTTCCGGTTGAGAGTGAAACTTAATCTACCTGCATTGTTTTGGAAGGTTTTCCTCATTGTCGCATAAACATAAAGTCATAGGTTTGCTAAGTATGGCTTCGAATATGCCTTCACCCAGGCAGACAATTGACATCCTCATTTAATTTTGTATATGACATTCGAATTTGTTGCAAGAGTGTTGGATGAAGCTTTTTTTTGTCTTCATTGCTTTGACGCGTATGACGGAAATGGGTCCCATATGCCGAAATAGGGCTACTCTCTGTGCCTTAACTCCCTCAAATTATCTAATGACAGCCCATGGTGGAACGTGGCCCATAGATTACGAAACGCTGCTGTGTTAGCTATCATCATGCAAACGATCAGATGTTTTGAAATGATTAAATAGCAAACAGTTGAACATTGAAATCGTTTGAAAATCAGTACTGAGTTAGAAAACCTTCAAAGCAAATGGACACAACTTTCACGAACCCAAATCGAAACCGTCACCCACCGACCCTTCGATGCATTATTTTTTTATGTTACAAAAAGAAAACGAACATCGATCAAAGTGTGCTATAATTGTCATTATTGTTAGGACAAACATTATCATAGTTAGAAATCAGTTAAAATTTATAAAAAAAAAAATATTAAAACTACATGTAACAAAGTCTAACTCCAGCTTACGGTATTCTGTCCGTTGGATTCATTTGTATTACACATAGATAGGTAGCCTGGTTTTTGAGTAAGATAAAATTGACTCGTTGGTGTGCAGAGAGTGGAATTGGAAGCACCCTGCTAAAATGGTTGGCTTATATTCCCACCCATCCGATGGGAGAGCAGCACGTGTGTACGTGCGTGACGTGGCATTGCCCCCGGTCCCAGCATTAAACCATCCGAAAATAGGGGTTTTTTAACATTTAGTATTAAAATAAAAGAAAATCATTCGAGAAACACAACACGCGTGTTGTCTAGGCTCGAAGGCCCAGACGCGTACACAAACAATAGGACAAATTGGGGAAAATTAAATTGGAGGAAAAGTGGAGTGAGAAAAAGGAAGTCGAAGAGTAGAAAGAAGAAAACATGATGTGCCTTATTAAGTAATTAGATAATTTAATTATTTACAACGATGAAGATGAAACGACGATGGAAGATAGCGTGCGTTGGGCATCGGCATTAGGCAAGGAAGCAAGCAACCTTCCAAGCAGAAGTAAGTTTTTTTTTAAATAGTACACAGTAGTTGAGTTTGATGAACGAATGAATATGTTGGAAGCGAACGCGAATGAGAGACAGAGATAGAGAGAGAGTCGGAGCGGAAAGGGATACATATACTTTACCTACCGTGGGCAAAAGTTTACATAACCATTAAATACTGTTCAAAATGATGCCCGATTTGCACGAGAGATAACATGCTGGAAGTGGAAGCTTGGACAAAGCGAAGTTGAAGTTGAAATTATTAGTTATTTTTATATTGTACATTTACGCTAAGGATCCGCCGCAGCAGAAGGCGGAATCGTAAACCAACTGTCAGTCAGGAATTGATAAAAATTGTATCGCCGCAAGCAAGGGAAAGTCAAAAGAGTTCAACCTACACGGCCCATGAGAGTAGCTCAGTAGCTGAGTCGGAATCAACTCAAAATGGCACAATGTTGGGTTACTCAGTTAGTGAGAAAAATTTCCTCATTTTTTAGGGAAAAACTGCTTGAATATGAGAAAAATCGACCAAAATTTAATCAGTTTAGGAGTATACTAAAAGACTGAGTGAACTATCTCTCGATTTTCCTCATATTCAAGAAGTTTTGCCTCATTCCTTTTTTCGCAATTTTGAGTCAACTTCGACTCAAATTTGAGTTACTCTCATTGGCTATGCAGACATCACATTATGAACAAACTATTGTTGATAGACTATTAAGCTTTTCTTTTGAACTTCCCTGCGCACCAATTTTAAATGCCTAACCGTCCACAGATCAACCCAACCTACCAGACGAGAAAACGCAACCACTAAAAAACAGAATTGTAAAAAAAATAAAACCAACCAAACCAACAGTTATTCAATACAAAAACCAACGAAATGTTTTAAGCAACCAACGCCTGTATCAAACTCCCCCGTCTGTACTAATTATTTTAATAAATTGTAATTTTTATTATCATACTGTAAACGTCGGACTTTTAAAAGCGCGCGAGCACAAATCGGGCGCGGTTTGCTTTTGGATAGAAACGAAAAGAAACCCATTACTGCTCCGGCCAAACAAATCCGAAAAAAAGAAGATCACTGAACTGTCTCTAATGCTTTTCGCTGTGGTGGGAAGTTATCTCACAGGTAATTCGCAGGCCGACAGGCATTTGTCGGCGGTGGTGGCGTCCAGTTTCAGTTATCTGGGGCGATCAAACCGATCGATGAACAATTGCTGCGCACTGTGTGCCTGCGTGCGGTAAGTGAGGTTATCAACTTATCATCAGTCGATGGCACTACTGAGGCTGAGCTTGCATAACAGAGAAGAGATTTGGATGAGATTTATCGAAAGCTTCCGCAAGATTGGACGCGGGACCGGCTCTTTGTTCATTATGCGTGTGCGCCACCACCGATCGAATTGACCATCCGAGTGATGTAAGGTTCCAAATGTGTGAATGAGAGACACGTCGAGGAGTTGCTTCTGAGTGAAGATATCTGAATGATGGTGATGGTAAGTATTGGTTGCTGAATAATGCGTATATTTATGCTTCGGGGTAATGTGGGCCACACGTGATTGATGTCGGTCAGATGCGTATGTAAATAGAGAAGATAACATGGATTGTACACAAAGATGAACTGGAGAATTAGAAGATACGCACGATCTGGGTACTGCGGACTCACTCAATATGCTTGTCAACTGGGAGTCAGAGCCGGACACTCAGATAGTGACGATAGTGCCACATCCAGAAATGACAAGAATCTTTGATATCTCGACAAATTAAATTCCATAAACTGGCAGCCCTATTGCATGTTTTAGCTATTATTTTTCGGTATTATTCTTGAAATTATAGACAATAAAAAAATATTTTGTTAATTATATAAGGCGATAACTCTATAACTCGATGGTCCGAACTATGGAGAGTTGACTGTATATTGAAGTACGTCAGGGATTCTCTTGGGAATTTTAAAAAATTTCATGATACAACCAACTTTATCTTCCTCGTTAATTACTTTTCCTTATTTAGAACAAAATAATTCCAGAGTGGATTTAGCTTCAGTAACAACAAACATTATTAAGCTTGAATTGTGTTTTTTAAGGTTCTGGAACGTGGATAATTCCTACGGATTCTAAACTGACTATTTTTTTAAATCGTGAACCGCATGAAATTAATTTTGAATAAAAATTCAAGAATCTGGAACGAAAATAAATATTCAAGGCTACGGACAAAGAATAAATTCAAAATTGCAAAAGCTTCAATGAATGAATAAGATGAGGATTTCGAACAGTCCCCAGGAATAACTTCAAGGGAAATCAGAGGAACACGTCACAGGTTGAATTTTTAGATAAACGAAATCTTATGATTCCTTTCAAACAAGTTATGAGGAACTCCATTCTCCAGGTGAAACGTAAGGATAATTCCAAAGTAGGGTGGTTGTACCAGTAATGGTGATACGTTTTTATTATAGTGTGTTCCAATTATGGCCAAACGGATTCCCACCTGGAGAGTTATCCTGAATCGGATACAGGAGAAGCTCGACGCAACACTGGTGGCAGCAGGCAGGATTCTGTGCCGGAAGATCTTGTGTGGACCATATTGTCACGCTCCACATCATCCTGGATCAATGAATTCCAAGAGTCTCTTTATTTGGTATTCATTGACTACGAAAATAACGATTTTAAATTGGTTCACTCCTTGACTAGCCTATTGGTCCCAAGCAAATCGATTAACATATCCCATTCTAGTAGAAAGTCTAGTACTACACTATGTCTGTTTTGATTCACTATGAAAGTTTGACAGATAAAATGAGGGGTTCGTGGATGTTCTCACGATTAGCTTAAGACCGATGATAGAGATGAGCCAAAAAGTTGAGCTCGTTTCTTCGGGACCTTCTGGTCTTTGAGTTACCTCTATTGTATCAGGCTTTCATGTGCACAGTTCTGCAAAATGGCCTGAACCGATCAACAATGACAGAACAGCCGACTGAGAAGAGTGAGTGAATGTTGTTTACGAAGCACTGGAAGCCGTCAAATTAGACGCTTAAAATTGATGGAAATACCCAAAATATTGTCAATGGCGTTTGCATTGCGATCTGAATAAACACAGATCAACCTTCTCCAGAAATCGCGTTTCGATGATGATTCGAATAAGATGCATCAGTGCCAAACTGAGACTGCCGACAGGTAACTTCAGAAGTTGTCAGTCAGCTGGAAACTGACTGCCTTCCAAACAACAGCAGCGGTTTCATTCGGCGAAAGGGTCAACTGTTAAGCAAGTGCACATTAACTTTCTCGCATCATCCGGGAGAAGAGAAACTTTTTGGGAACGATTGAGCTTCCACCTGTTCCAAATTATGCAGACACACTTTCTGATTAACTGCTTCCAATGGATGATAATCGCTCTTATCGAGGATGCCACGAAACTTGTTGATCCAACGCAGGAGTAGAAGCTCGGTGCAATGGTCGCGCAACAGAACTATCAAAATATAAACAAATTTTGACGTTTAACTTTTTCCAGGCACCATTGATGCCGTCATAAAACTAAACGGAATAGGATCAAGCAAAATGGCCTTAGATAAACAATTTTTATACCACCGCCATATTGCTATTATCTTTTTACTATCTTCGTTTTTCATGATGTTTTTTCCATGAAAATAACTTTAATCTCATAAATGCATCATTGATCAGTAATAGAGATTCCGGAAATCATTTTATATCTCGGCTGGACGTAATGATTTATATAAAAATTAACTAAACGTTGTTTTCTAAATAAAAAATAATAAGTAAAATCAACGATTTCCGAGGGCGGACCTATTATTTCGATCTTTCGAAGCATATTTCACATTAGATTTAATCTATGTCCCAAAAATAGACCACAAAATGAGAACTACTTTGATAATTTTGGTAATTCTTTCGCATTAAATGAGAAAATTTAATAAGTTTTTTGAAAGATTC